CCCAAAGGTTAACCTTTAGTTCCCCTAGGATACTGGACAAGTAAGATCTTCTTCCCAACTCTCTCAATCGCTTCAAGGGGCCGAGCTAGGGTTTAATATGGTAGGGTTTTGAGGGTCTTGGGTTTATTGTTGCAGAGTTTTAGGTTTCATAGGGTTTGGAAGATCTGCAGCAACACAGCCTACGTTGTTCAGCAGGTTGCCTGTAGGTCTTTGCGTTCAGGATTTTGGGCTTAGGGTTTAGGGGTTTATGCGTTGGGCTTTAGGGTGGATCTTTAGGGGGCATGTGTGGACCCTCAGGGAAGGGATCTTTGATCAAAAGCCTCATAAAGGTTGCAATAAACCCCCAAACAGTTCCACGATAGATCTTAAATGCAAACGAGCGGACACACACACACACACAAAGGCCGCCAGAGAGAGAGAGAGAGAGAGAGACAGACATCCTCATTGACCCCACAACACTGAAAACTCAAACGCAAACAACAGCGCTTAAAGCATATACAGAAAAAGGACGGTAATCGCACCAATAGTATCAACCACTTTGTGAATCAGAAGCAAGACCTTCTGAAGAATAAGTCGTATCAAGAAGAGAAAGGGTAAACTCATATGTACATCGGGTCAACATAGAACCCTAAACCCTAAACCCTAAACCCTAGTATTTGAGGCTTCAACACAACAAAAAAGCTTAATAGAAAGATGATGGAGAGATGCAGGATCAGGGAACCTAGCCGATACGTTTATCAGTAGAGTTGCTGTAGGTTCCGACAAGGCTTATTTTGTAAGGGTCACTTTCCGTGTTGCTACAAGGTTTATTATGCTTCGCGGGTCAGGTAAGCAGGCTTGTAAGTATGGTGACAGTATACCTTAACCGACCAAAACCCACTTTTTTGCAGGTTCTTATTATAAACCTTAATATGAAATTTATAGGGACCCGACCAAAGAGTAGGTTCTGGTGGGGAAAGGTAGTTACATTAAATTGTATCTACGGAAAACCCTTTGAAGGTTCTCACAACCCCACTTTCTAAGTCCCAAGTGTTCCCCTATAAAACCCCACAAGACCCTTTTCAGACCCCGAAAGGAGCCTTGGAAGAATGTGAATATGGAAACGCTAAACCGTGAACCCTACCCTAAACCCTAGGTTTAGGGTTTAGGGGTTTAGGGTTTAGGGTTTACTTTAAGAACCCAAAACCTACTTTTTTGTAGGGTCCCTATAAATCCCATATTAGGGTTTAAAATATAAACCTACAAAAAAGTGGGTTTGGTGTTCTTGAGGCAGGGTTCTATACCTTAAACCCGAAAAAGACAAGCCCGACAGCCGATAAGTGAGACCTTCTTCCCGGTAGGTCTCGGCTACTGCCTCGTCGAAGCGCTTCCGGGCGTGCTTTGGCGTAGAACCGACGGAGTTTTGGTGAAGGAGCGCAAAATTAGGGTTTAGGGTTTAGGGTCTAGGGTTTAGGGTTTAGAGTTTAGGGAATTCGGGTTTAGGTGTAGGCTGAGGGTTTTGAGTTGGGGATACTGGAGTTTGAAGCTTGCATCTTCGGTATAATAAGCTAGATTGAGGTTGCTTTAGTGGCAGGTTTTGGTAAGATGGTCTGCGGTTAGCGTCTTAGAGATCAGCTAACCCGCCTTGAGGCTTTTCTATAAGGTTCCAAGAACAATTGAGGGTTTCGGGTTTAGGATGTACCATAAGATTACAATGAGGGTAGTATATGGGCATTATGAGAGTAAACTTAAAAAATCCATGGTTTAGGGTTTTGGGGCTTTTAGCGTTTGGGGCGTTTGGAGTTCAGGCTTCTGGGTGCGGGTTTGGCCGTTCAGGGCTGAACCTGACCCGAAACCTGAAGCTGCCCTTTTTGGGGGTTTTAGGGTTTAGGGTTTAGGGTTTAGGTCAACTTTTTTGGGGTTTAGGGGTTTAGGCTTTAGGGGTGTACCTAAACCCTAAACCCTAAACCCTAAACCCTACGCCCTAACCTCTAGCCCCTGCGGCGAACAAGCACAACAGCTGCAAGGTTTCGCTCTCCGACTTGAAGCGAACTTGCGCCTGGACTGCTTGGATAGTAGGAGTTTCGTGGTTTCGGGTGCGGGGTTGGGGCTATGAACCCTAAACCCTAAACCCTAAACCGAAACCCCTAAACCCTAAGCCCTAAACCTGTACTCTAAACCCTAAACCTAAAACCCTAAACCCTAAACTTTAGGGTTTAGGGCTAGATGTTGAATCCTCAACCCCAAACCCTTGGTTCAGGACTTTCGGGAACTAGGGAGAAGATTCGCACACTTCGGGGACCGTCGAAAGTCGAATGTGGAGACCCGACAGAACCACAAAGGGCTCTGGTTTTGGAGTTTAGGGTTGAGGGCTCTTTCTAGCAGAGGCTTTGGAACCTCTTCTTGGGAGGTTTAGGGTATAGGGTTCAGGGCCTAAAGGGCTTTGGGTTTAGGGCTTAGGGCCTGAAGGGTTTCCGGTTTGGGGTTTAGGGGGAACCGGCTTGTGAGAGTTGCTGATAGTTTTACCAAAAAAACTGACTGAATAAGTCCCGGGTCCTGCAAGTAAGCCCTCATGGCTGGGTTAGGATTTAGGTCTAGGCTTTGGGCTTTCAGGCGGCGTCACATAGGGTATTGAATACTTTGAAAAGGGAGCTTGAACGCAGTCTCTAACCAACAACTCCTCAAACACAGATGCCAAGAGCAAATACCGCTTACTGAACATGAGGACCACAAATCACATAATGATTAGATTGAATCGAAGGGCTATCAATAGATACACAAACGGACTTGCACAAAACAATAAGTCTTCGGGATTCCTCTGAGGTGGTGAAAACACACGCACGCGCGTGGGCGACCATCTGGCGTATTGCAAGGACATTCCTTGTTTGTTCTTGGTTTACTAGTGGCTTCAATAATCACGGTGACTCATACACAGGAGGCATAGGGTCTCACAAAGGGCTTAGTATTCCAGCACCAGTATAATTAATCAATTTTGGCAGCTCTGTTGGCTTGCCAGGGCGTCGGTTCTCTGAAATTCTGCAGAATGTTTCCCTAAACCCTAAACCCTAAATCCTAAACCCTAAACCCTAAACCCTAAACCTTAAACCCTAAACCCTAAACCCTAAACCCTATTCACTCGAAGGAGAAACTCTCTGTCCTGGCTGCAACCTGCGCAGACTCTCGGCTACAGTCCAGTCCAGACGCCTTCCGGGTTCAAGCAGGTTCGGAGTTCGAGGAGCTCCCCTGAAAGAAGTCTTCCCAGAGACCCAAAACCCACGAATCAGGGAATATACCTTAAATCATATTGGGATTTAAGGGATATTCCTTAATTGAGGGGTTTTGGAGTCTCTGGGTTCTTACTAAGGCCCATGTTTCCCCATGATCCTTGATCCAAGTTAGGTTGAGGGTTTCAGGCTTCGCAAGGAGTTTGGGGTTTAGGGCTTCGGGTTGGTTTAGGTGCTTAAGGTTCGGGTTTATAAGGTTTAGTGTTTAGGTTTTCGGGTCTCGGGTCTGGGGCTTCGAGTTTAGACTTCAAGTTTGTAGGGTTTAGGGTTTCGGGTTTGGGGTTTATAGGGTTTAGGGTTGTAAGGTTTAGTGTTTATGGTTTAGGGTTTAGGGTTTTATTTTAGGGGTGAGGGTTCCGGCCCTGCACCCTGAACCCGATTTAAACCCTAAGCCGCAAGACCCCTGACGGTTTAGGGTCTGGGATTTAGGCCCTGCATGAGCCCGAAACCTCCAATCTCCGCAGCCCAAAGCCTGAAGCTAAACCTTGTTTAGGGTTTAGGGTTTAGGGTTTAGGGTTTAGGGTTGAGGGTCTACCGAAATTCACTGAACCTTGGATCCTAAACACCCCCAGCCTGAAATCTAAACCCGAATCCCGGAAGCCCTGAACGTTTTCCTTTTAAGGGATCCCTTAAGGTTTAGAGTTTAGGAACCCTAGACCCTCTGTCAACCCTAAACCCTAAACCCTAAACCCTAAACCCTAAACCCTAAACCCTAAACCCTAAACCCTCAACCCTCAACCCTCAACCTTCAACCCCAAACCCTAAACCCTAAACCCAGACGCTGAATCCCAAGTATCCCTAGGCTATGCTAGCGGCCTGCTACCTGCTTGGGGCGGCGGCCGGCGATGGGGACACGTTAAGGATCGCTGGGAACGTCTCTCAAAGCCCCGTAGGGTTTAGGATTTATATAGGGTTTTTGGGTTTAGGGTTTACGCCTAATCTTGCAGTGCGCCTCTTTTTTGTGGTCTTGGGCTCCTATCAAAACTACTCATAACCAGAAAGCGAGCCCTTTTATTCCTAGGCTCTTGTGGATGCTGTATTACATAGGGATCCTCATGAATGATAAGGACCTACCCTAGATCCTAAACCTTGCACCTCGTGAATACAAGAAGGGCCAACACTACCACTTAAAGGATCAGGGGACTTAGTCAGTAGGGTTATAGGTAAGGTATCTATCGTTATATCTACCTTTAATCCTACCTAGGGTACCTATAACCCTACTTGTTAAGTCCCCTGAACCTTAAAGTACTAGGACCGGGGAACCCTGCCCCCTGAAACCCCATGCCGCTTTCAGGCAAATCCCCCCGGCTTTGTGGCTGAGCTTGAAGTTGTCCTTTCCGGGTTCATGTAATGTAGGAGCCTTAATACTTTAGAGTAGGGTTTTGGGGTATATTACACTACAATTATAATAAGGAACCCCCCCCAAATAGCATTAGTAATAACTTAAGGCCCCTATAGTACCTTTAAGGACTTCTCTAAAGGGATCCTTCGCGGGCTTTGCGCCTTGAACAGATTTACCACAGGGTTTTGAAGGGGTCCGAAACCCTGAACACGTGTAAACCCTAAACCGTAAGCCATTATAAACCCTGGGCTCTAAACCACAAACCAAAGGCCTAAGCCCTAAACCGTGAATGCTGCCCTAAAGCTTTGACGCTGTTTGACACTTTTAAACCCTACACCCTAAACCCCACACCTTAAACACTAAACCCTACACCTTAAACACTACACCCTAAACCCTAAACCCCACACCCTACACCCCGTTATAAGCCCTGAGCAGGATCCTTCCCGACGGCTCCATCGTGCGCACCACAGCTGAAAAGCTGCTTTTGTTAAACCCTACACCCTAAACCCTAGACCCTAAACCCTAAACCCCTAACCCCCGATCCGGGGTTCGGGGTTTAGGATTTTCAGCGGGATCCACGGTTTGGGTTGTCGGCTCGGGGTTTATAGGGGTTCAGTGTTTAGGATTTCGGGCTCAGTGTGTATATTTAGGGTTGTGGGTCTAGGGTTCAGGCGGGTTTCGTGTTTGATCGAATTTGGCAAGGGTGTAGGATTTGGGGTCGAAGGCTTTAAGATCGGGCTGGGTTTAGGGTTTAGGGTTTAGGATTTTGGGGGCTTGGGGCTTGAAATGTCGGGCTGCGAGGTGCCATGATCGAGCATCTAGAGAGAGTTTGAACTCCATGATGGGCCACTATCCTTCAGATGATTTTAGGGGTTTAGGGGTTTAGGGTTTAGGGTTTAGGGATGATGGCTGGCTCACTTCGCGAGATACGGTATCCTGAAGCGGCAAAATTTCGATCTCGATCTCGAATGCTACAGCTGGGAGCCAAACCCTAAGCTTGAAACCGCAGGATATGTGGGCTGCCGACCATGGCATACCTTTAAAATTAGAATGGCTTAGTCCGTGCTCCGTGCGTGTACACAGTTTTTGCGGGTTTTTAGGTTGGCGCTTTGCCTACACCAAACCCCCCAGGACCCTCCACAACCGTGTATATAAGACGCTCATCAACCCATGTTTTGTTTGCACATGAAATCCTTAATGAACTTTTTAATTCACCAAATCCGAAACATAATTTTAAATATTCGTGAAAGAAACGTAAAGGAAGTACCTCGAAGTTGGATTCTGGGCCCGCAACCTGATCTGCAGACTACCTTACTTAAAGGTTTAGGGTTTGGGGCTTATAGACTTTAAGTACCCGTCAGATCATGCACACTCCGATCGATGGGAGAATCCCGCGACCCGCTGACCTTGCAGTGCGCCCAGTGGCGGAACCCGTCGGCGAACGTGACACGGGCCATCAGTGAGCGTTGCACAGGAAGAAAATCTTGAAGGCCAACTGGGGCCCAGAGAATTTCTTTCGGAGGTCGTATCGAGCATCAACACACGTTGCTTCGAGCCGATGCACCAACATTTCACGTCCTCAAGCTGCCGACAATGGGGTCCCAACAGTGAACCTCATCAATGCGGATGGGTATGATTGCTCCACTGACGGTGGAGATGTTGGTTAGTTTGGCAGGCATACGTTGATGTGCGTGTTTGCCCGTGGGACTATCCCCAACTCTATACACCTCAAACCCAACAGCACAAAAACTCTGAAAAACAAGCCCCAACCCCAGACCCGGAAACAAACCCTAAGTGTAGGACCCTATTTATAAACCCTAACCCCAAAACCCCTTAAACCCTTCAGTAAACCAGACCCCAAAATCAGGAACGTGTAGGACCCTAAACCCTGACCCTTGAAACCCTTAAACCCTTAACCCGAAGGCTCTAAGGACTCATCTTCTGAGGCTGGTTTAGGGTTTTTGGGTTCAGGGTTTAGGGTTTAGGGTTCAGGGTTCAGGGTTCAGGGTTCAGGGTTTAGGGTTTAGGGTTTAGGGTTTATGGGCCCAAAGACCATACTATATGGGGCTTTTGGGGCTGTTTTGAGCCTCAGGGTAGGAAACCTAGACTCCAAAACCAGGAACAAACCCAAAATCCTTAAGGCCCCCAAACCCAAAACCCTTATGATCCCTTTAAAGGAGCCCTAAACCCTGAACCCTTCAACGGAACACTCCTAAACCCAGGGACAAGAAACCTAGACTCCAAAACCCTAAACCCCTAACCCCTAATCCCCTAGGCCCCTAAACCCCTTAAACCCTACACACTAAACCCTAGACCCTAAACCCTCAACCCTAAACCCTCAACCCTAAACCCTACAACCCCTAAACCCTAAACCCTCAACCCCAAAACCCTAAACCCGACAACCCTAAACCCTAAACCCTAAACCCCACACCAGGAACCCTTTAAAGGAACACTCCCAACACCAGGAACCCTAAACCCAAAGCCCTAAACCTCTAAACCCCTAAATAAAACCCTAAACCCTAAACCCCAAAACCCTATCCTAAAACCCTAAACCTTCAACCCTATACCAGGAACCCTTGAAAGTAACAAAAATTAAAATAAAAAACCTAAAACAACAATCTTTTTATTCCAAAACCAAGAACCCTGAACCCCTAAACCCCAAACCCCAAACCCTCAAACCCTAAAACCCAAAACCAGGAACCCTAAACCCTCAACCCTGAACCCCACACCACGAACCCTTTAAAGGAACACCCCCGAAAACCAGGAACCCTTCCCTAAACCCAAACCCAGGAAACCTTTAAATAAAACCCTAAAAACAATATTTTTTTTTATCCCAAACCCAGGAACCCTAAACCCTAAGGAACCCTTTAAAGGAACACTCCCAAACCCAGGAACCGGCTTTTGCGGCCTCTTTGGTGGCGCCTCGGTGCTCGATGCTCCGCCTGTGTGGCTTCCACAGGCGGACCTGGGCGGTTTAGGGTTTAGTAGGGTTTGGGTTTAGTAGGCTTTAGGCTTTAGTAGGTTTAGTAGGGTTTAGTAGGGTTTAGCAGGGTTTAGCAGGGTTTAGTAGGGTTTACTGGAAATTACTAGGGTTCAGTAGGGTTCAGTAGGGTTTAGTAGGGTTTAGGGTTTCTGGGCTTTATTGGCGTTTATACGGCTTCATTAGAGCATTTACAATGATTTTATACGGTTTGAACAGTTTGTGGAGGGTTGATTCACTTGAATGTTGGAAGTTTAGGAGGGGTTTCGGGCGTTTGGGTGCGAGGTCCAGGTTTACGTTTTCATGGCTTAGGGCCATTTAGGGGTTTTCCGGGTTCAAAGGCTTATGCTCATTTCAAGGTATATGTTTCAGGATTTCGGGGTTTTGGGGCTTTTGTGTTATGGGTGCATAGTGTCGAGGGCTTAGACGTTACGGTCGAAGTCAGACGGGCTCGACCTCTTTCCTCGTTTCATATACAACTAAACGAACGAAAGAACGATGCACATATAAATAAATGATAGGTTAAACAAATACATAAATAGATACATGGATAAAAAAAGTTAAATAAGTACATCCAAACACAGACATATATATATATATACATATATATATATATATATATATATCTCTCTCTCTCTCTCTATGTGCTTTACGCTTCAGGGTGCAGCAGAGTAGGATTTAGGGTGTAGTAATGTGGGGCTTGGGGGTGTCTGGGTTTAGGCGCCGGGCTTCGTTGTTATTGAAGTTCTCACACTCGCTGTGAGCACTGTTGACTTGAGCCTCACCGCAAAGGCATAAATCGGATGATGGATGTTTGTTTCCATTGTCCTGCTTTCTATCTCTCTTGATTATTGCTTTCGTAGTTACAGTTGAGCTAAATCTTGCCCGAGTCCGTTTCACATCAGCGGTTCTTACTATAAGTACAGCTAGCGGTGTTTTGTGACGACTTTTCTCATTCTCTCCAACAAGTTTTGCTGCTATTGCCTATGGGGTTCGGTGTTCGAGCAGCAGTAGCATTGTAGTATGTCCTGACAAAGATGCCAACTATGACCCAGGCTCCTGCTAAACCCTACCCTAAACACTACTAGTCAGCAACAAGAACTGTGCAGACGGCTGCTTTGCCGCTTGGGGGGCTTCCCGGGTATTCCAAGCTTCTAGATCCCAGCACCTTCGAGAACCCCGTAGACGCCTATGACACGCTTAACAAAGTCAAGCCCTAAGCCCTAAGTGCGGCCTAAACCCTAAGGACCCTAAACACCCCAAAGAAACCCTAAAGACCCCAACGACCATAAGAACCCTAAGCCCTAAACCCTAAAAGACCCGACCCAAAACCCTAAACCCTAAAGACCCTAAACCCTCAACCCTAAACCCTAAAAAACCCGACCCAAAACCCTAAAGCCTCAACCCTAAACCCTAAAAACCCAACCCCAACCCTAAACCCTAAAAGACCCGACCCAAAACCCTAAACCCTAAAGACCCCAAACCCTCATCCCTAAACCCTAAACCCTAAAGCCCTAAACCCTAAAGACCCTAAGCCCTAAACCCTAAAGCCCTAAACCCTAAAAGACCCGACCCAAAACCCGAAAAGACCCGACCCAAAACCCTCATCCCTAAACCCTAAACCCTAAACCCTCATCACTAAACCCTAAAGACCCTAAAGACCCTAAACCCTCAACCCTAAACCCCTAAACGACCCGACCCAAAACAGGTCAGATGGACTCGAAGACCTTCCAAGTTCTCGTGAAGCAGCACAGCCCTGGCCTCTGAGCGGGGAGTTTAGGGTTTAATCTAGAGTTTAGGGTTTAGGGTTTAGGGGTTCAAGGTTTATAGGGTTTAGGGTTTAGGGTTTAGGGTTTAGGGTTTGGGGGGGGTCACAATTGCCTATAATTTATTTTGGGGGTTACTTACTATAGTTATAGTCTAGTATGCCCCCAAACCCGATTCTCATTATCCAGGCCCCTGTATTAGGGCTTGGAAGGCTTCTGGGGCATGTGGTTTCGGGCATGGGGCTTGGGCTTAGGGTTTAGGGTTTGGAGGGTCTGTGGTTTAGGGTTTAGGGTTTGGAGGGTATGTGGTTTAGGGCCTAGGGCTTCAGGTTTAGGTAGCTTTTCGGTTTAGGGTTTCGGGTTCGCGGTTTAGGTGGTAGGGTTTAGGGCGTGCAGGATTTAGGGGAGTTTAGGGTTTAGGGTTTAGGCCCCCTCCCAAACTGGGGGCCCTTCCAGAGCAGGGTCCACCGCAAGAAACTCGTACGGATCCAGCAACCTAGTGTTTTTAGAGTCGTGCCAAAGAGTTATGGGCAGTTATGGGGTCATAACTTCCTATTTTAGCCCTAAACCCCTAAACCCGCAAACCCTAAAGCCCCAAACCCCCAAACCCTAAACCCCATTTGCCCTAAACCCCTAAACCCTAAACGACGTTTGGTGATCCTTCCCGAGTTCGATCCCGAAGCTCTGACGGGCTTGAAGTTCTGAACGTCGAAAAGTGACCACATCCTTGACCCCCCAAAACACCTGCCTGTTTAAGGACCTCTATAAGGAAATCATCATAAGGAGCCCTGAAAAGGTAGGTTCTTCAGGGTCCAGGATATACATAAGGATCCCTTTTTGATTCGGCAGGGCTGTGTATAGGGAAGCTTCTGACAGCCGATCCGTGGGTTCGTGTGGTCTTTGGGCTCCTATACTGTTGATGATATAAATCCTGCATCACCCTAAGGACCCGAAGCTGTGTGAATTATGGGATATTCCTTATTATGAGAGAATGCAGGATACCCTAAACCCTAAACCTTGTAACCCTAAACCCTAAACCCTATAACTCGAAACCCTATAACCCCTATAACCCCAAACCTTCTTATTGTGGGGGAATGCAGGATTTTTATATCAGAAAACCGTAAGTCTCCTGATCCTCTAAGTAGAAACCCGAAGAGGCCGAGAAGTGCATACCTGGAAGCGTGATGCGCGCATCTCAGATTCCGGAGACCCTCGTTCGTGAGATCCTTATGTCAACCCCTACACCCTAAACCCTAAACCCCTAAACCGCCCTAAACCCTGAACCCTAAACCCCTAAACCCTAAAACCTGAACCCCTAAACCCTGAACACTATGCTGAACAAGGATGTATGATTTCTTGCTCCTCACGGGCTAGGCTTGAGATGGGGGCTGGGGATCCGCTGCAACTGAAGATTCTTGGTTTCCTAAAAGAACTGCTGAAACCTCTTTTTTTAAGGTTCCGTACTGTGACTTGCTTTTTGGGCCTTCAAGCAGGCCCTTACACGTATGCATGTCCTTGTGGGCAGAACTTTTGTGGAAAAAGCTCCGCTGCATACTTAATCAGAAAGCCTCAAACCCCAACCCAAACCCTCAACTTCAAACCCTCAACCCTAAACCCTCAACCATAAACCCTCAACCCTAAACCCTAAGCCTGTCAACCCTTGAGGTTCAGGGCTAAGTTGCTCAACCTGCCCTTCCAAGCACAGGCTTCATCACACAGCATGCATGATCCCTACTTTCGAGGCCTGGGGATCGGCTAGTGAGACTATGGAGTTCAGGGGTTTAAGGTTTGGGGTGTAGGGTCTAGGATTTGGGGTTTAGGCCTGTCAAGGAATGAAGCCCTAAGCCCTAAACCCTAAATTTCCCTAAACCCCTCAACCCCTAAATTTCCCTAAACCCCTCAACCCCTAAACCCTAAACCCCTAGACCTCTAAACCCCTAAACCCTGAAACGACAGTGATCTGGGGTGCACCCGATACCCTGAGCCCTGTAGGGTCTGGCTTTACGGCTTATAGGGCTTTCATTGTTGCGAGGGCTTCTAGGGCTTGTGGGGTTCGTAAAGATAGTGCTTTAAAGGGTTTACAGGATTGCAGAGTTTTTGTGGGCTTGGTAGGGTGTATACTTTGAAATTTTGTTGAACCCTAAACCCGAAACCCTAAACCCGAAACCCTAAACCGGTTTGGGGTCTGGTCGTAGGGCTCGGGCTGCAAGTTTCTGCTGAGGTGCACGCCCAGGCGGTCACAGCTTTTGGAGGCGCCCCCCGGTTTAGGGTTTAGGGTTCCTTCCCCTCCCTTGCGCAGCTCTTGATCTAGGACATGTGCAGGTGGGTAGTTACCGTTATAGGAGTCTTATAGAAGGTCTATATACCTTATAGAAGCCTTATAGAAGCCCTATATACCCTTAACTCCCCACCTGTAGTTTCCTTTAAGTTGAATTTCACTTTGGTTTTCAGCCCGCGCTTTGCGGGTAGAAGTAAACCGCAACACCCTGAGCCCCTCTATTGCACTGTGCTGCTGAAGATTCTCCGACTTCTCTATGGCGATATGGCTCTCTGCTCGGTTGACATGCGGGAGCATCTCAGCCCAATCCACACCTCGCGATCCGGCATCGGAGTGGCTGTCGGCCCAATTAAGAGCCAACTCCTTGGGCGTTTAGGGGTTTAGGGCTTAGGGTTTAGGGGTTTAGGGGTTTCGGGTGTATCTGTTGCTTGAGCTGCCCGATACATGCATGAGAGAGCATTGCTGGACGAGGAGACGGCATCCCTTGTGGCGATGATGCCACACTTCCCAAGTCTCTCAGCCTAAACCCTGAACCCCTAAACCCTAAACCCTAAACCCTAAACCCCTAAACCCCTAAACCCCTAAACCCCTAAACCCCTAAACCCCTAAACCCTCAACCCTAAACCAAAGTCTCTCCTCCCTGCAACACAAGACTAAGAGAGTCCAATACCCCTTAATTAAGGAATATACCATAAATTATAGTAGGATCCCTAATATCGGTCATGTAGGGGGCTTCATAATTATAACAGGGTTTTGTGGATCCTTTATCGTATGCTTGCAATACGGAGCCCTAAGGAATAAGATCGGTAATATAGGGGCCTAAATAATTACCTATACTGTTTTGGGTGTTCCTCATTATAATTATACTATAATATACCCCCAAAACCCTAGTCTAATCATCAAGGCCTCTAAACCCTAAACCCTTATAGTAGCCCTTATAGTATCCCTTAAGGGAACCTTTTAAAGGAGCCCCAAAACCCTACAGATGCCTGTGCGTTGGAGACGGCGATGGTTCCAACCTGCCACCCCCTGACCCGCATGTGGGCAGTTCTCTAAATTAGGGTCCTTTTTTTGGGGCTCCCTTTTTATAGGGGTGCCGTACTATTTTGGGGACTTCAAGAGGGACCCGAATTTAGCGAACTACCCATATAGAGAGACTTGGGGCGCAGGGCAGTGCTTAGAGTGGCGTGATAGCAGGTCGACCCCGGGACTGGCCCTCATAGCCTTTTGGCATTTGTGTGGTAGGGTCAATGGAAGCCAACCCAACTAGCGCGGATTTTTCATTGATCTAAGCCCTAAACCCGAAATCCTCAACCCTAAACCCTGAACCCTCAACCCTTAATCCTAAACCCTGAACCCTCAGCCCTAAACTAAACCCTAAAGCTTCAACCCCCCAGTCCAAAACCCTGAGCCCATCTAATGTAGGGGCCTTAATAATTACTTGCAGCTTGCCTTTCTTCAGCTCTCTGCAGACACAGCCGTTACCATACAGCTGCGTTCGTTGTGACCACCTCGTCAATTACCAAGGCTTTCGATGCACTTCCTGCCAGGAGCAGCCCACCTCCAGAAGAATTTAGCCACGGCTATTCGTTCTGCTTCACGCACGCTATGCTTCGGGAACATTTGGGTTGATGTTACGTGTGGCCTGGAATTAGGCATGTTTCCATGCGCCTACATGCGCAAAGACAGTATGTCCGATAAGCAAGCTGCACTGCTGCTGTCGCCCCTGAACTACGCCGTTACGCCGCTCGAAAGTGTTGCTCAAGTGCCCTGGGCCTGGGCAGGGGAAGGTGCCCTGCTTATGAGCTTAATCGGTGCCTTGACCACGACGCCTCTACTTCACCGCACCATGCCTCTGAAGGAAAGGCTCGAAAACTCCACGACAGGCCTATGCCATATGCTTGCTCCAACTGGCCGAGATCCTCGCCGAGAAGCGAGCCGTGCGTGACAAGGTCAAGCCGAAGCATTAAGGTCCCTACATTGCCAAACAGAACGGGCTTACCAAAGCAGGAGGAGCTCGCCCCAGACTTTCGAATGTCCGTCTTGGGGGCCGTTGTTGCTGTTGCGATTGAGGGTTTAGGCTGTAGGGTCTTGGGGCCTTATTGCTGTTGCGGTTTAGGGTTTAGGCTGTAGGGTTTAGGGGTTTAGGGGTTTACGATTTAGAGTTGGTTTAGGTTCAGAGTTTTCCCGTTCTTAACGTCGAGCTGTTCCTGGATAGTAGCCCGACAAGCATTTGTAAGCCGTTTTATAAGCCCCCAACGAAGGATCCTGCTTTGGAATTTAGGCATCTATACCACGCCCTGCGATCCAATAGCCCAATGCCGAGCCAAAGAATCCTTGCAAGGGTGTGCCTAAACCCATAACCCAACCCTAAACCCAAAACGTTAACCCCACCTAAACCTTAAACCCTAAACCCAAACCCCTAAACCCTATAAACCCTAAAACCCCTATAAACCCTATAAACCCTATAAACCCTATAAAACCTAAACCAGTTACTGTGATTCATAAAGCCCCGATGTTACCAGCTCCTCGACGTCTGGGAACTCC